GATGAATCTTATCATTCAACCCTGCCCTACCTCTTGGTTTTTCTCAAATCTTTGTGATTTGTTAAAGCAGCCTACTTTGTTCTTAGTGGCTCCTAGTAGTTGAGGGTGTGTCAAGAACTGTCAATATCCCAAAGGGAAGGATCTCAGTCAATATTTAGATTCAGGCTGAGTGGAAGCCAGACTCTCAGGCAGTAGCTTTGAAAATATGCAAATATATGTCTTTCAGGAGAAGATTAGGAGATGGACATTTCTGTCTGTTTTCTCTGCGCTGAGCCCTGGGGTGATAGCCAATTAAGAGCTGTTTCTTTGTTTGCTACTGTCCTATAGAACCCATGAACACAAACCTTGCTGGCTACCAGAACTAGGTTTTCAAGAGATGGGTCCTCGGGGTAGTAGCCATGAAAGTCTGTGCCCTAGCCTTCTTTTTTATAGAACATTTTAGGATGTGGAATGGTGGGAACATAGTTTCAACATACAACCCATCAGTAATAAGTTCATATAATCACTAATCTGAAGAATGTAAAGAATTTTTATGACACCAGGCAAGACTGTCAAGGCTTGGTTATAAAATAAAGGTAATCCCAATTCCTTTCAATTTTATTATTTTTAGCAATTATACTTTGTGTTACCATGTACAATGAAATTAGTCTTAATTTTTATATCTTTTTAAAAGTTCTTATGTAGATACATTTACATATGATACAGGAAAAAAGAGTTTCCCAGACAATATGTTCTAATTTTTGCTTCAGAACCCATTTAGTGGTTAGTTTTTTTAAATGTTTTCCATTCTACAGGAAAGAGTTAAAATGGGTCTAGTTTCCTTCCAAAACACTTTTGATCAAGTCAAGCTTAAAAGCTATTTTGGTTTAGATTTGTAATGTTTGGCTCCATAGAGCCTTAGTTCATAAATATACTAGTTCCTTATTTCAGATACTTGTCACTTAGTTCTTTATACAAAACCATAGAAATATTTAAAAACTGTTCACTTTGCCCCTATAACTTGTCTAAGCAATGATTTTGTCCTTAAAGACACAGATATAATTCATAGTAAGAAGTAATAGAGGGGCATCTGGGTGGCTCAGTCAATTGAGCATCCGACTCTTGGTGTGGGGTCAGGTCATGATCTTGCAGTCATGGGAGGAAGCCCTGCATCAGGCTCTATGCTCAGGGCAGAGTCTGCTTCAGATTCTCTCTCCCTCTCTCTCCCGCTATCTCTCTCTTTCTCTCTTAAAAAAAAAAAAAAGTAATAGAAAGAAGTAAACTCCCAAGCCAAAATAAAGTAATAATATTGTATTTTCCTTGGGAAACTAATGTGATATGGATCACTATCTTATTACACATAAAATCTTCGTGTCTTGAACATATTAAATTTAGCTCAAAGTTGGTGAAACCCAGGGATGCTAGTGCTACCTTACATAGATATAGCACTTCATAGTTAACAAAGTACATTTGTAAGCACTTAAACTCTCTAACGTCTCTGTGAGATTATTTGCAATTATATGTGTTATGTTAACATTACTAGGAGAAGAAATTTAATTGTACCTTAGAGCATTGTGAAGAAGTCCTTAATGCTTCATTTTGCTAATTTAAAACAAATTGCATATAGAGAGATGGGAGAATGGTTCTGCATATAGCTTTGTAGACAGATGTAACTTGTTTGAGGTCTAATATGTAAACAAACCTATCATTGGGTCTGCAAATGCTAAGATTGAAGGGACTTGGGGAAGTATATGTGTAAGGATCTGAAAAAATCTGGGAAGCATGATAAGAAAATATATGCAATAAGACAGAACATATTCAGGGGCACCTGGGTGGCTCAGATGGTTAAGCATCTGCCTGCGGCTCAGATCACGATCCCAGGGTCCTGGTATCAAGCCCCACATCAGGCTCCTGGCTCAGCGTGGAGCCCACTTCTCCATCTGCCTCTCCCCCTGCTCATGCTCTCTCTCTCTCTGTATCTCTGTGTCTGAAATGAATAAATAAAATCTTAAAAAAAAAAAGAACATATTCATGGGTATGCAATACTTTCTTCAAAATAATTGTATCATTTTCCTATATTACTGAAACAAAATTGTGTTTGTTTTATTTCTTATTTGCTCAGATCACGTATATTTTGCAGAATGACTACCTGTGTTTTCTCTTTCCTTTGTTTCCCTTTATACTTCAGTACTAGATAAAAGTCTCTTTCTAAGAGTAATTCTAATTTAAGTTAGATATATTTTGAAATGAGTCTCTGAGTAACACTTCTTTTGTTTCTATAGTTTATTTAATAATTGTATTAATATGTATGGCCTGTATGAAGTTTAATTTTGCCAAGATATATGAGTTATTTGCATCTCAGAAGGACTATTAGTGAAAACTACAAAAGTGGATAGAGATAACCATACTTACTTGCATAAGTGTCTCCCTTTTAAACATCCCTAAAATAGGGGCACCTGGAAGACTCAGTCGGTTAACTGTCCAACTCTTTGTTTTGGCTCAGGTTGTGATCTCATGGGTTATGAGATAGAGCCCTGTGTCAGGCTCTATGCTCAGCAGGGAGTCTGTTTGGAGATTCTCTCCATCTTCCCCTCCCCCTACTTGTGTGTGCTCCTCTCTTTCTTTCTCTCCCTCTCTCAAATAAATAAATAAATCTTTTTTAAAAAAAAAATCCCTAAAATAAAAAGGGGATAATTATGAAAATGAATTTTTTCCAATGTAGGTGGAGTAAGAGTAGAATATTTTGTCAGTAGTGAAATTTCTGAAGCCTATGAAGAACAGTTGAGACTTTTTTTGAGAGAGAGAGAAAGAGAGTGGGGGTAAGGGGCTGCAGAAGGAGAGGGAGAGAGAGAATCTTAAGCAGGCTCCACACCCAGCGTGGAGCCCAACATGGGGCTCCATCTCACAACCTTGAGATCATGATCTGAGCTGAAATCAGGAGTCAGACACTTAACCAACTGAGCCACTGAGGTGCCCTGAGACATATTTTTTTATGGTTTTATCAAATAGAATCACTTTTGGTTTTTCAGATGATCTTGTTCTCAAGCTTTTAAGAATATGAGAACAGAGGATATATGAAAACTGTAATTGGGGGAAAATTGATATTCTCACCTAAAATAAATTATGGATTAGGGGACTATAGGAGAAAAAAGCTAATAAATATAGTCATTTTTAAGATTACTATTACTCTTATCATATCTGGGTGGGGTTTTTCTTTTTTTTAGGATTTTTTTTGCAAATTTTTTCTTTGAAACTTTTACTCCAAAAATTTCCTGCTTTGTGTTTTTTATGTATCTGTTACTTTTTTGTCTTTTACCATTACTCCCAGCTGGGGATTTTTGCCTGATATTAATGTATATGACCTTCTATTGACTGATTTTACAACCAGGGTTAAATATTCTGAAAAGTGAGGGGTTTTTTGTAGGTACAGTGGACATGAAGTAAAAGTCCTCTTAATATTATGTCTGTTCATAGAGACCAGAAATTAAGTAATATTACCTAAATATGTATTTAAGAATGATTCAAAATTGAGCAAGTTTTATTTTTTTAATTATTCCTCCCAGAGAATATTTTTGTTGGTTTTTTTTACTTATCTTGCCAGTGTTTCTTTATACAAATGAAGGCAAATGAAATATATTCTTATACTAAAGTTAGCACACTGTATATATTCAATCAAATTATATACTCTGTCCTGTACCTTGCTTTCATCACTTAATGATATGACCTGTAGATCTCTTCAAATCAGTATAGGGATCTTCCTCATTTCTTCTTATAGCTGCATAGTTTTCCATCAAATTGGGTGCCTCAGTTTTTTTAACTAGTACTTGACTACTATTAAATACATGGGTTGTTTATAATCCCTAAATTTTATAAGTTATGCCACAATCAATACACTTGTACTTGTGTTCTCTCATACTTACATAGGAGATTGTATAGGATATAGTCTCAGAAGAGGTATTGCTGGGTCAAAGAGAAAATATGTCGGTATTTTTGTAGATATTGCCAGATGCCCCTCTATAAGAGATTGTTTGTTTTTGAGCATGTGTTAAAAAAAATAAATCATATGGTTTATTACATTTCTTGCCCATTCTATCTTCAATTTAATATAACCTTGGTTCCACTCAAAATTTTAAAATTCAGGTTCCTAACCAATTCTTTCCTTTGTCAGAGATAAATGTCTACTTGCCTCTAGCATTTCAGACTTATATCTAATACCTTTGAATGTCTAGTGTCAAAAATCAATCTGAGTGACTTTCCTTAACTCTTCAGAGGTTTATCATCAACATTACAACCTGTAGATCCAATTAGTCTACCTGGTACTTGATAATAATAATCAGTGCCACAATCTAGTACAAACCTCAGATTACCTGTTTTCTCTGCTCTGTATTAAGTATGCTTAATAACTAGCTTGTTCTTTTAGGCTGATTGACATACCAATTAAACCATACAGTTCTCCTTTTCTTTTAGACATGGCAGGATTCCCTTGTTACCTTCATGTATATTCATGCTGCTTGCAGGGAAAATTTACCAAGTCTTTCCTTATTTGGGTTTGTTGCCAGTATATGGAAAAGGTGGACCCTAACATGCAGAGGCCCAACCCTCCTATTGCATTAAACTAGAGGGTGGTGGACAAAGCTCTGGGCTCTGAAGCAAAAGACCTAGGCCTGTGTCTTAAATGATACCTTAGAGGTATAGCTTAGAGTCATACAATTTCCTACACTTAGTTATATCACCTGTAAATTGTGGAAAATCTTACTTAGCTCACAGAATGTTTGTGACAGTAATATGATATACTATAAGTAAATTAGTTTTATCAATTCTAAAGCCTTGTTAAGTAAAAATGAGATGGTATATTTATTTCCACTAACTGAGGCAAGCTATAACAATATCTTAACCTCAATCTCATCCATTTTTGGTTCTTCCCATGTTTAGAGTACATTGCTAAAAGAAAAAAGTATTATGCCTTTTTGTAAAGGAAAAAAAAGCCAGAATTTAAGAAAATATTTTGTTTTCTCTTTTAGCTATAGACTTCAATATGACAAAAATTTTAAAGAACCCAAGAGCATATACAATGCCCACATTCAAGGAAGAATCAACTGTATCAAGACTAACAACAAAGGTTTGGAGCATAGTAATTATTAAAAATGTTCTTACTTCTTTAACTTGCTTTATAATTAGTTGAACAGCTTCATATAGGCAATGTTCATTATTACATTCCTGACATATATCTTAGAAAAATGTAATGATCAAAAGTGATTTATTGGAGAGGATAATCTTAATGTTAAAAAGTCTTACTGTTTTTTGAAAATATCCTCATCTCTAAACTAAAAAGAAAAACCATAGCATTCATCTTTTCTCAACTTCTGGCACTGCTTGTCCTGGGGTTGATACACAAACATGGCTCTGATCTCAATATGTTCTAGTCAAGGTTGCAGGGAAAACTTCGTAAGAGTTTTCAGCAATGGCTGACCTGTCCCTACCTCTTAAGCCATGATCCTGGGATAACTGGCCATATGTAGATACTATTACTGATAAGTCTTGGTTGCTTAGTTTTTCCATGTTTCTGACTGTGCCTCCCTAATAGAGATCCCTATGGACTTTTCCATCTTGTGTTGCTTTAGCCAAGATGTGATGAGGTTACTGGCTTGGTATTCTGAATTTGATTTTTTGTTAGACAACTAGGTTTTAAATTTGTTGCAGTCTTTATTGCTAAAATTTTGTCTGAATTGTCTAGTCAAGTCTGACCATAAATTTTATGTTATGCCTATTTAAAAACCACTTTCTGAAGTCAGTTTTCATATATTTCCTGATCTTTAATAATCCAGATATAGAGAATGTTTTCCAACATTTACAGTGCTGCCAAGAATGGTTTGTAAGTACTTAAAATAGAAACTGGTGATCTCTAGGAGTCAATTGGGATCAATGATGCTATCACACCATTGGGGGTGGGGGACACGTACAATATTGCTGGATTTAGAAATCAGGAAATGTAATAGAAATTGTATATGTGATCTTCAGCATTCACTAAAAATGGCCCTTTGTACCTTGTTTACAAATTGAAGAAATATGGACAGGTGGATTTATAACTGACTGAACAACGTTTTTCAGATGACACTGTTAAAAGATGGAAAGCAAATTGCAGATACACCTTTGGTAATGCACCACATCACTGCATCATTGGCCTGTCCTATGTAGATTATTTCATCAACAACTTGGATAAAAATATGGTTGCCATTTTTATTAGATATGTAGGTGCCATAAACCTTGGAAAAACTACAAATACATTGGATGACCAAAAGTTTACAACAGTCGAGTATTGGGCATCAAGTATCTTAGAGATAAAGTTTTATTATGGAAAAAGCATAAAGGTCCAAAATTATAGCTCCATAAGTATAGGATAATAAAGCCATGGGATAGGGGCATCTGAAAAGATTTGGAAATTGTCTTTTATAGTAAGCTCTGTATGTATCAACAGAGAATGTTGTTGACCCCCAAATCTACTGCATTCTTGAGCTATTTAAACAGACATGTGGGATCTACTCTATGCTGATTAAACAATTATGTATTATGTTCATTTTGGAGCTCCACATTGTGAAAGGGTGTAGGCAAACAGAAGTGATCTGAATAGAAAATAATCAGGATGATGAAGGGCTTTGAAACCATATTTTTTCAGCAATCACCAAAATAGTTAAAGGTATTTCCACTAGAAAAAAAAAAAGACTCTGGTGGCCATAATAACTGTTTTCAAGTATGTAGAGAGCTACTGTAGGAAAGCAGGATTAGGCTTTTTCTGTGTGGCTCAAAAATTTTTTTACCAGTACAAACCAAAAAGTTTTTGTTTACCCATAAGTGAAAGCTATAGGGAGACAGTTTTCAGTTCATCATAAAGAATTTTCTAAGCATAAGTGTTGTCCAGATGTTGAATGGGGGCCTGTGGCTTCCCAATGCCATTATGAACATTGGCAAGATGCACAGGCAAACCTCAAAAATGAAAGTTTAGCTTCCTAGTCATCGTCAGCAATTATTCTTTAATAAATTAACCAAAAAAATTAAACACCAAAATCATCCCTTGGACTTTCTAACTCATCTCTTGTAACACTTCCAAAGTTTATAGGATTGCTTGGTTCTCCAATTTAGTACTAGGTTGACTCTTGACTATAAAAGTCTTGTTTGATGGAATCTTAAAGTTTTCTGATAATTTTCTGCCATTGTCTTTTGTGGGGTAGATGGAAGCAATGGAACTTCTGCTAATTGTTTTGGCTATTTGGAGTATCTCTAGCAAGAGTTCTTTGGGCAACTTCAAACCTTCCACTTTAAAGTATCTAAGAAAATGGCTAAGGCTCCACAAAACACTGGATATGCATTTAATACCTAGGTCTGCTCTTGTCAGGTTGAACTACCCTTAAAAAATCAGGGGCCATTAGAGAGGAAGAAGCAGGTATTAACTGTGGTTTTCCTATTTTAAAAATGGATAACTGCAGAAAAATAACAGAAATGTCTATTTCTAGAATTTCAGTAAGATCTAAGTTCTATCTTACAATATCCAAGGCAGAAGCCAGAAAAAGGGTCATAAAACATCTTTCTAGACAGCCAGCATTTCCTTTTAATCTAGACAAAGCTTGGTCTGATTTTGCATGCAATTTAAAGATTACTCAGCCATCAAAAAGAATGAAATCTTGCCATTTGCAATGACGTGGATGGAGCTAGAGTATATTATGCTAAGTGAAATAAGTCGATCAGAGAAAGACAATTATCATCTGATGTCATATGTGGAATTTAAGAAACAAAACATATGAACATAGGGAAAGAGAAGGAAAAATAAAATAAGAGGAAAACAGAGAGGAAGGCAAATCATAAGACTCTTAACTATAGGAAATAAATTGAGGGTTGCTGGAGGGGAAGTGGGTGGGGTGATGGGGTTACTAGGTGATGGGCATTAGGAGGGCATGTGATATAATGAGCACTGGGTGTTGTATGCAACTGATGAATCACTAAATTCTACCTCTGAAACTAATAATACAGTATATGTTAATTAAATTGAATTTAAATAAAAAAATTTTTTAAGAAGATCAGGCTAGGGCGCCTGGGTGGCTCAGTTGGTTAAGCGATTGCTTTCAGCTCAGGTCATGATCCTGGAGTCCCAGGATCGAGTCCCACATCGGGCTCACTGCTCAGCGGGGAGTCTGCTTCTCCCTCTGACCCTCTTCCCTCTCGTGCTCTCTATCTTTCATTCTCTCTCTGTCAAATAAATAAATAAAATCTTAAAAATAAAAGATTTCAAATAAATAAATAAAATCTTTAAAAAAAAAAAAGTAGATCAGGCTAGATATAACCTAATGTGAATTTTCATGGGAGATGGAGATGGAGTAAATTATTTACATAATAGGAAATATGTCTGATTTTGACATTGAGTTTTCACCATCAAAGAATTGCTTTTGATTATGATAGTCCTACTGTTCAAAATAATTATGGAGCATCTCTGAAGGAAAGCCATGAAAAAGTGACCATAAGCAAAAGAAACACAAGAGAATTTTCATGTATTAGTAAAAGCAAATGAGAATAAAATCTTACTTCCTCACAGGAAGTGGAAATAATAAATCTTTCATCTACGCATTACAAAAATGGAGAAAAGACATAATATATGTAGTTGCTATACTGACCTTGTACCCCACGAGAAGCCAGTAATAAGCAATTATATTTATGGTCACTTTCCCTGACAAAGAATTCATGGTCAACAGTTTTATCCATCAGCACTTTGGTTACATTATCCACCTGCCTTCTGGCTTCCTTTGTTCTGATAAAAATTCATCTTTTAATCTTATCGGGGTTCCGTTAGATGTTGTTTTTCTCTTACTGCTTTTGAGATTTTTCTTTTTGTTTTGGTCTTTCAACGCTTTGAATATGATGTGTCTAGGTGAGTATTTTTCCTACTTAAAGTTAAGTTTCTTGGATATGTTTTCCACAAATGTTTGGAGGTTTCTTTTTTCATGCTTGTCTTCACATTTTTTCCTGTCCCTTTTTCTGGAGTTCTGTTCATTTTCTTCTTTCTTTTTTATTTCTGTTCTTCAGACAGAATAATCTCTATTAACCTTTATCAAGCTGATAAATAAGAAGGCTAGAAGGGTCTTACTGCATGAACTCATAGATTCATACTATAGTAAATTTCTTTAATTAAGAAGATGCTTGGAGTGCCTGGGTGGCATAGTCAGTTAAGCGTCTGACTCTTGATTTTGGCTCAGGTCATGATCTCAGGGTCCTGAGATGGAGCCCCGCATGGGGATCCCCACTCAACAGGGAGCCTGCTTGGGATTCTCTCTCCCTCTCTCTCTCTGCCCCTCCCGCTTGTGCTCACTCACTCTTTCTCTAAAATAAATAATAATCTTTTTTTAAAAAGTTGCTTTACAGAGTTTCTTTTTATTTATTTTAATATGCCGAATAGTAACTTTATTTATAGTTACAATGAAATTATATTTATTTACAGTTCTTTAAAAACACATAAAAGTAATAATTGACTTGATTTTTTTCTTCCCTTTACAGTCCCATTATATTAGCACTGGTCCAGAGTTTAACCGTGTGCTTTTCAATTTTGGAGGTCAGAGTCCACTGATTTTATATTACCTTAAGATGCATGAGTTAGCTGGTATTTCCAAAGCCCCTAGACAAACCAAGATGAAACTTACTGAAGTATCGCAAGAACCATATCCTTTTTTAAGCTTTGCTTTAATGTTATCTTTTTCTAAAATGTTCAAAACTTTTTACTAAATGTCACAGTCAAGAAAAAAGTTTAGTGCATTTTTTAACCAATGTTTTTTACTTGGCATTTAATTATATTCAAAACTTTCATAGCATGTTTGGCTAAAGTATTTTCTCTTTTAGGTCTAAGGCTGTGATTTTGCATGCAAGAAAATTTTAAAAAACATAAAACCCAGGAACTGGCATATGTAGCTCCTTAGTAAAAGACTATTACTGTTCAGGGTTCAGTTTTAAGCATTTGTCAGACTGTGGATCATGGGCTTCTAGCCTTCTCCAGAGGAAAGTTTCAAACATGTTTTAGCTGTGTAATTCTTTGTTCCAAAGAAAATTTGTCAGAAAGGTTAATATGTAAAATGTAATATAAATGAAATTGGAGCTCTTTCATTGCAGCAGGGGTGAAGGGCCCAGAGTTCTGTACACTTCTACTCCCCTATCCCCTCTGCATAACCCATGCTGGCCCAGCCCTCACTGGGGCCTCAGATGAACCCCAAAGGGATCTAATACCATGGTCTCCAAACGGAAGTGGACACAACTCTGGATAGAAAAATATATATGTATATATACATATATCTATGTCTCTATTTTAAGGTAAGTAAACTGAGGCACAGGAAAGGTAACTTGCTAAGTGATGGCACTTGGAATCTATCCTTGGTAGTCTGGTTTCACAGCCAATACACTTGCATCCTCCTGTTTACCCAGGAGAACTGTGTAGCTCCTGAAGAAAATAAAAGTCTATTCTGGTCTTCTAAGGATAATCACAATTATGGTTTGGGGCAAGGGTGGTAAGAGGCAGAAAAGTCAACAGAGGACAAAAAGAAAGGATGCCATGATAATGTTCCTCATATTTGAGAATAGTTATTTGAAATTTCTACAGTTGGTTCTGCATTAAATTACTTTAGAAGGTTTTCTCCAGACATGTAAGATTGCATGACCATGCACATTCTATTTTAAAATCCTTTATTTACTGATTTTTCTGATATACTTTCTTAAGCCCAAATACAGAGCAATAACATATTTGATCACTATGCAGTTTTTAAATCAGAGTCTTGTGGAACAGATACATTTAAAAATAAATTTAACATTATCGGTAATATTTCTTTTAATTTGGAGTCACTTGCCAAAGTCATAAGAGGGAGGATTGCTTTATTGTCAATGTTTTAGAATTCATATATAAATACTGAGAGACTGGAGATGTTTGTGGAAAGGAGGAGGAAGGGAGCAAATGTAATTGTACTTCACAGGGGTGCTCATGATTCTGACAGGATTTTTAATGAATGTCCATAAGGAAAATAATAAACTTTTTTGCTAATGTATATTTAAAAATTATTAGTAGAAACTTTGAATATTTTTTATGAATGGTCTTTGAATATTTTCTTAAAATTGATCACTTAGTAGTAGAGTTATAAGTAAAATGGCAAAAATTTTTACTTCGAGGACCTCAGAGCTGAATATGTAATGTGTCTTTAAACTGTGTAGAATCATGTGCAAAATGTATTTGGAGCTCTTACTTTTCCCTTCTCACATCATCTGTGTTTTTATAAATCATCTCGTCCTTTAATGTGTTGAGAGTAGACTAACAAAAAAAATACCTGAAAGTCTGATATTTTTTTCCACATGAAACACAAATTATTTTTTTACAAGATAAAGAAAACTCAGGAACACAGTGTTGGTGTAGTTTGTAGTTTGTGTGGTGTAGTTGGTGTAGTTGGTGTCTCATTCCATTAAAAAGGAATGTCCATAGGCTGTACTATGTGTGGGTCCTGTTAAAAAGAAAGGTCTATGGACTGTATCTGTATTTCTAACATGAATTTGGAAGGTTCACATTTTGTTGCAGTTTAGAAAAAAAATCTGAACTCAGTGCAGTATCATAAAGAGTGCATTGTGTTACTACAAAGACATGCTCCAACCATCACATATGCATATACAGACTTATTAACATGTAAAAACTGTCCAGGGGTGGATTGTTAAACTCTACAGTTGAAAATAATATGGGATATAGCAATACTTAAACCAACATAAAAATAAAAGCTATACAAGAAATCATCTGTTGTTAATTATCTGTGATGTGGGAGAAGCAAGTAGTCAACAGCGGGGTAAAAAAAGAAAAGGAAGAAAGCCTCAGACTCATGAAAGGTCATCAGCTCTTTACACATCAGCTCTGTGTAACACTTGATCTTCACACAGTAAGAGTCCAGTGGGAAACTCTTCAGAGTCATGTGCAACTTCTTTTCACTTTTATTTATAAAAATTTTTCCAAAAATCTTTGTCACATGTGCATACATAGATTTTTTCCTCACTAATATGTGAATAACAACTTGTCAGTTGTTACTAAAATTACTATCAAATATATTTTTCATTTCAAGTCACTGACATTTCAAGTAATTAACATATACTAAGGATCTGGTAATCACATTTTGTAAAGGATAAATTAGCTAAAAGACAGATGTTCGAAAAAACCTCTAATCCAGAACCTTCCCACCTAGTTATTTTTCTAGTAAAGATAAAATAAAATACTTTTTTCCCTCAGTCCTTCTAGAATTATCAGGGTGAAATGGATAGGAAGGCCTACACTGCTAGAAAGTTTTTTCCATTATCTATGAGATTATACCCCAAAAATTTAACCCTCATTTCCCTTCAGCTTCAAAACTAGGGGTGTGGATATGACAATATTATATTTTAATGAGACCTTTCAGATAATAGAAACCACATGTTAGCTTCCTGGAATGGGAGGTTTTTTTAAAAATATATTTTTGTTGAAAACACCCAGCCCTGAAACCCTGTAGCAACACAGACACCCTCCACCAAAACATGATGGAGGACTGATACTTCCTCTAGTTGTCTGCAAAGAGGAAGAACAGGGACAAGGTATGCCAAGGCTAGGGAAAGGAAGAGAACGAAATGGGGAGATAAGGGAGTAGAGAGGAATCCCAAAACCCTTGGTTGCACTGAAGGAGTCTCTAAATTAATTTACTCGAATTTGAGCCTAGATTTAAGCTTCTTCTCCATCTGTATCAAGCAGATGGATTGGACTAGATAAATTTCGACTCTTTTTGAATCCTGAAATTTATGATTCTGTTGGAGGAATTTGACTTTCCATGCTGTTGGTGGCTAAACTAATAGCTCAGCTTTTTCTGAAATGACAACATTCTCATTTTGTCAACTCACTGTAGAACAAGGTTCTTCAGAGTATACACTTTCTCATTCTTAGTTGTCAGCTTCCCTAAAAGGCCACCAGAATAACCAGTTGACCAAGTAAAGCTAAGTAAGAACATCAATTTAAAAGAACTATAGTGGGCACCTGGGTGGCTCAGTTGGTTAAGCGACTGCCTTCGGCTAAGGTCATGATCCTGGAGTCCCAGGATCGAGTCCCGCATCGGGCTCCCTGCTCAGCAGGGAGTCTGCTTCTCCCTCTGACCCAACCCCCTCTCATGCTCTCTCTCTCTCTCTCTCATTCTCTCAAATAAATAAATAAAGTTAGAAAAAAAGATTAAATAAATAAATAAATAAAAGAACTTTAGTAGTGTCTCATAATGGGTAAATTCAGGGATGATATTTATAGGGATTTAGGGCCTAAGTTGGATGATTTTGAGTCAGGCTATGCAAGGCAGGGAATTATCTGGGACTGGGCAGTGTTTAATTGGATTGGTGGGCCCAGTGAAGCAAGGGTCTTGAAGGGAGTTTTGATGAGCAAGCTACTGTAACTGGTTCAAAGTCTTTTCTTTCAGGAGAAAGCATTTCCTGGAGCAAGTAGCTAAGGTATTTTTATTCTTATTCTCAGCATTATTAAATATAGGGATGATAAAAACGTATGCATGGTCCCCAAACTTTTTAACACAGGGACAGTTTAATAAGGCATTAGTCAATTGTATTTCTACCTCCTCTTAACAACAGCAATTAGACATCCATCTGCAGACAAAAGTACCTTTGTGGGGAACTGTGGGAGCAGCACCATTCGCCAAGGAAACTGAGGGGCGTCTCACCCAACTGTTCATCAGGTAACAGGCATACAGACCTCAGTTCTGGCTTTGGGCCCCATAGTGGCCTGTGAAACAACTCTGGTGCCTTATGGCTACAGTCTGGGAACCCCTGGAGAACACCTCACAATCACCTATGGACAAGAGGGCCTTTGTAGAAGTTCAGGTTTCCAGTAGAGAAGTTCCAGCATTACAGGAAAACACACACACACACACACACACATAAGAGTGTGGACACACTGGAGAGGGCAAGAACAGTTTGAGTCCCCCAAAGTGGCACAGCTTAAGGCCAAGAGAGATCCTCTTGGCTGTGATTTCTCACATGGGAAAAAGTGAGAGTGTGTGAGTGAGCACTCAACTTTCCTAATTTTGTGGGTTGCTGCCAGAAAGGCCCATTTCTCTCTTACCCATTTATCATTTATCACTGAATCATGAGCTGCTTGACTTGGGGAGCAAGAAGAGACTGGAAGACTGACAGATAGGACTCTCAGAGGGCATTAAAGGGATGCAGATTCTACTATGTCATAGACTCCATCAAGAAGCCTGCGCACAAACCACTAGGGACACCTCACCCACAGATTTTCCCAACCGTCCCGTGGGTAGACCACCCCCACCCCCAGTGCTTTTTTGCCTTACCCACACACACTTACACCCTGTGGACAGCTCCCTGTGCATCCTCCAAATGGCAATGGTGAGAGCAAGCTTTGGCAGATGGCTGGTGAGCACACACAGAAAACCTGCGGCAGCCCAAATCTGTGGTTCAGGGAGAGACCACAAACTTGAGCTTTAATCCACCTTTGGGAAAACAAAAGGAAGACTGTCAGCCCCTGCTCTGGTATGCTCCAGGATCAAGAGAAGATATACAAGCTTAAGAATTCTGCCACAAGGGAGAGCAAGAAACATGGAGCAGGTATATCCATAGAAGGTCTGCGAAAGCCTCAGAATCCCTAGCAGGGCTGATGGAAGGTATTTC